AAAGGGAGTTTTTCCTCTCCACTGTCGCTACAAGCATGCTTAGTGTGAGGGATTGCTGAAGAGTCAATGAGTCGATGCAATCAGCTGGTTTTTATTTAATCATCTGGTGAACTCTAAAGTTCCTTGAGATGACATCTGTTGTGAATTGGCGCTATAGAAATAAACTGAATAGAATAGTTCTGATGGGGATCAGGGGTTCAAGGCTTTTAAAGATAAAATATGGGGCTAATATAACAAATTAACTCACATGTCATTTAATTAAAACTAGAATAGACCTAAACCTATTAGAGATGCAAGACATAGGGGTGTGGGTTGGTCTGATCAAAACCACAAAAACCCCAAAATGTAAAATTATCTGTTAATTTATGTGTGGAGAACATTCAGGTCTCACGCTGCAAATATAGAAATTGGAATAAGTCATATTTTTGCCGACACCCAGAGTAACATCAGAAAACCTGCAAAGTTTTTCAAAGTCAATCATTTGAATCATCGTTATTTTAAAGATGACTCAGCCCGACATAAAAACATTTATTATGTTTATTCAAACTAATATTTTTCAAGCTGTCCTGTATAATAAATTATCTTTACCTTGATTCTGTTTAATCTTTGCTTTATTAGATCTAAAAAGTACTTCTGTTCTTTACTGTCCTATTATAACTCTACAAAAGAGCTTTTTCATTCGATCAGGAAACACATGTACTTATTATTTAAATACTACACATTTATAAGAAAGAAGTAGACAGGGCAACAAAAAATAATACTGCGAAATTTGAGCGTCTCAACCATCTGGAACTTTTAATCTGTTTGCAAAAAAGGAAAAAAAAGTTGCAGAGGTCCAGTCAAAGAGCGGATCTAGCAGTTAGTAGATGGAGTGAAAATGATGGGATTTTTGAACTATTTTGCAAGTCTTGCAAACTGCACGCCCTCTGCTCTGCTCTGGACAGTAACCCTAATTTCAAAACCAGCCCTTGGATGCAGTTTGGGATTGATTTTGCTGAGCCAGCAGACAGTCCGATGGGAGACAGCAGAGCTTAGCCTAAAGTACAGTTTCATCATCATTCTCTGGCACAGAAATCAGACTATTTCACAACTGGAGGGCAGGTAATCTGACTCAAACCGTGATGTCCACCATGTTTATCTGCCTACAGTCATTTCTTAGGGGGGTTAGCATGTCTAGATCTGTAGGTCTGTAGATCTGTAGACATAGAATATATTCAGATTGTTTCTGCTTCCAACATAATGCTCTAAGTGGTTTTGTGTCCTAATTCCTCTGATTAGGAGTACAGCTTTGAAACAAAAAGAGGGGAAGAACCAATACCTTAAAGCAGGAGTCTTCAATGTTTTCCAGGCCAAGGACCCCAAAGTTATGGTGAGATGGAGCGGGGACCCCCTGAATATATATTCTATGAAATAGTGTTCTATCAAGCTGGTCCTATAGTCACTCTATTACAGATGGAGTAATGTAATGAAAGTAATCCCTCCCTGGGATTATTAAAGTATTTCTGCTTCCTGGTTGACGGGACAGGTGTTGTGAATGAAACGGTGCCCAGCTTGAAAGAGCTCCTGTGTGTCGTATTGAGATTGGATCCCAGTTTTCTTTTTTTCAAAAGAAATTCCTCTAATTTTTAAACCTGAATGCATCGTGTTTTTTTTTTTTGTTCTAATTCAGATTTTATAGAAAAATGTAATTTTAAGATAAAATAAGTCAAAAATATATAAAATTCCAAAATTATGGAATCCTGGCCCCCATGTACATTTGGTCTAGAACCGCCACTGGCATTGATGACTGAAAAACATCTTCTGCCTCCATTTATCTGTTTACTACGGTCTGTTGGATTCATGTTAATGTGGATTTTAAGACATTTCAATTAGTGGAAAAAATTGCAGGGTGAATATTAAAAAAAAGTCTAATAAACCCCCATGCAGTACCTCTGGGGACCCCCTAGGGGTCGCGGACCCCCTGTTGAAGACCTCTGCCTTAAAGTGTTTGGGTCACATTACCTGCTGGTATGGAGTGCAGTAGACCTCTGAGCCAGTCAGGCCACAGGTGGAGGAGGCTTGGAGCTGGTCAGATCTGCCCAAGAGGAGGTCTCTGTTAGGCGGATAACACGCTCCAAGGTCGCAGTCATTCTGGGCTTCTGATATCGCAGTGAAAGCTGTCAGGAAGAAAGGCAGAACAAAGAGGAAATCTTTTTTAAAAAGCTGTAAAATTATGAATCTAACAGTGGAGCAAACTGACACTGAAATAGATTTAATCCATAACAGTATTTCCTTCTAAAAACCAACACCAGAGTCATCTGGAGACTAAATCCCATGACTGATCTTCTTTAACTGTCATAAAGTCAGGAATTGACTCTTTGTCCTATTCTGTTTTTTTTTTTTTGCAAATAAATCCCGTTACTGGGAGGATCTCATAGAGCTTACAGAGGGCTGCAAGCCTCTTACCCACTGAAAATAGCAGGTTAACATGTGTCTTTCAAACATGGGTCAACTTGCTAACAATCAGCATTTGGCTCGCTTCCCATTGGCTAAAAGAGTTGGTGTAACCCAGGGGTGGGCAATTCCAGTTCCTGGGGGCCCCTATCCTGCAGCTTTTAGATCCATCCTTGGACCAACACACCTGAATCAAATACCTTCAGAGTCCTCTCAGTCATCTAAATATTTGATTAAGGTGTTTTGAACCACAGACACATCTAAAAGCTGCAGGATACCGGCCCTAGGGAACTGGAATTGCCCACCCCTGGTCTAACCCCTCCCTGACATCTGCATGGCCTCGGTCCCCCCGCTAATGTGTGTCTGGTGACACACAGTGTGTCAGGGTGATACAAAGTGTGTCAGAGTCCCACCCTTGAATCAAGACAGAGAAATAAGCAGAGTAAAAAAAAAAATCCCCCACCAAGACGAAAGGAACGAAAACATGTCTGAACTGAGCATCATACATGACAGAGCAAAAAGGACCTCGCCCAAAATACCTGGTCACTACCTGATCCAACCCGGAAGCACGATCGGTCCTGCTCATGCATGAACAGAATAATAAGATGCGGATCGCCGACAGACTAGGTAATAACGGTAATAAAAATACTTATTTTTAGGGATGCACGATATCGGGATTTTGGCCGATATCCGATATGCCGATATTTTAAAACTCATGTAGCCGATAACCGATATC